AAAAAAATATATATATTAAAAATGTCACGTAAACTATAAAATCTATATAAAAAACTGTATAATAAAAAAAAAAATAGTGAATTGTATGTTGGGTGGGAGGAAGTCAAGGAAGAGAGCCATGGATGGCAATGCAGTTAGATCTGCATATATCAATAGATATGCGCTGTCTGAAATAGAAGCCTTCCTGAGGATCACCAGTGATGGCGCGGATTTTTTTACCGAGGGTTTTGAAGAAGGTTAGGGCATGATTGCCAAAAGACCCGGTTGTGTCGGATACGATTGGTATGAGATTGCAATTTGTTAGGGAAGTGTATTTATTAATTTTCGAGTTTTCAGCTCGTATGAATGAGTTCTTATTAAAGGAGGGAGCAAATCGGTCGATGCAGGTATAGTCCCATGCTTATGGAATTCCATTACTCCATGGTATTAATTTCAGCCCATCTGGACGTATATTATTCTCGGTTGAGAGGCCACAGGGTTCGAGGGTTGCTGGAATTTGAGCTGAGCGTAGAGCACGGAGAATGGTGCCATTAACTGCACTGTGTCGAGAATGTCTACCTTTAGAGAATCGACAATGAAGAGGATGGTGTCCAAAACAATTAACGGGTTGGGAACATAATGTACATGTGGAGTTGGCCAGTATATTACAACCAAGACGGAGACCTATTGCTATGCGTAATTCTTCGTTTGTTAAGAGAAGTCCTAAGTTTGAGCTGGGCAAAGCTTCTAACCATTCATAGCCCGATAAGGAAGGCAAAAGTTGTGGAACTTGCAGTTGTGGGAGAGAGAGATGATCAACTGTTAAGGATTCATCAACTGTAATGGGAGATAATAAATGTGAAAGGATTGATGGGGATCCCTTAGAAGCAGCACTCGATATTAAATATTCAACGGAGTGGCGTATTAAGGGAAGATCCCAGTCATGTTGCTTTCGTGATGTGGGGATTGGAGCGGAGAAGGAATTCTCTTTCCAGATTGCTAGGGCGTGGAGAAAGTAGGGGTCTGTGCGATTATTGTTAAGTGATAGCATAATTAAGCGGGAGCTTGATTCTGAGGCTAAAAAAGCAGCAAGGCTGAATGACACGGGTGATCTTAAGCCAAGACCCCCAAATTTCGAGGGTAAGGAGGCCTGCATCCAAGAATTAGGGCTGAATTTTATATTAAGGATGCCTTCTAAAGAGTCTTTGATTGTTGATTCAATTTGGGTGAGAATTTCCGGGTATAAGAAAAGTGGGGCAGAGCGGAAGGCGTGTTGATTATATATTAAGCTCATGAGAAAATTTAAATTTAATCGATTTTGGTTCTATACTTGTTTTATTAAATAAATATTCCATTTTTGCATGTTTAATTCTTATTTAAATCCTTATATTTAAATTGATATAAATCCCTACAACTAATACTCATTCTACATGCTAATTTCCCCGTTTAACTCTTATTTAAATCCTTATATTTGAATTGATCCCTACAACTAATACTCATTCTACAAGCTAATTTCCCCGTTTAACAATTATCAGGACAAGACCTTCCCCGCTTGTCATTATGGTTGAGTTTCCCCACCTGTCTTTATCAAATAACATAACAAATCCGAAACATTAATAAAATAATGTTTTCGCATTCCTTATTTAATAATGTCTCGAATTTTGAGCTGATATAATAGAATTTTATTAGCAGGATTGATAATACAGGAAAAATCCAAATTTCTTTATAGTGGACAGCTTCTAAATAAAAAAATGTTTTCCTATCTTGGCCTACATCCAAATTAGGTATGGGCTAGAAAATGCTGGAAGATTAGTTTTTGATCTTAAAAAATTGTTGAAATTTCCATTTAAAAAGAAATATGCGTTATGAAGCCTTTGTCTTTGGAGTTAGCTCTAAATTTTAATCGAAAAAATTGATTATTTATAAATAAAAAAAAATATATATCTTACAAGATAAAAATTGCTTTAAACATTTTATAGTTAATACCATTTTGAAACTAGATATATTTGTGTTGACGAATTTTTTTTACCATTCAAGGGTAAAAATACATTAAAAAAATATATAAAATCGAAACGTCACATGGGGTATAAAAATATTTGCTCTTGCAGGAGTCTTAGGAATTATTTATGAATTTGAAGAATATAGGAAATACTATAAAGACACGAACACAATTAGGAATAAGTGGAGATATTGTTCTTCTCCTAGTTCAAAACGTGCCTAATTTTGAGAACCATAAAATTTACACAGATATCTTCTCTCCTACTCTTTTATCGATAAGACTTAAAGAAAGGTATATATATGATTGGTACCATACGATCTAATCGCCTAAAGGGTTGCAATTTGAAAAGCGATCGCGATCTCAAGAAAAAGTGGAGAGGTAGTTTCGACTACAAAACTGACACTAATATAATAATTGTCAAATGGTTTGAAAACAAATCTGTTCATGTTATATCATCCTTCAATGGTATCGACCCAATAGAAGATGTGAGGAGATAGTTCTTGACGAAAAAAATTTATTCAGATCCCTAGGCCTTGTATTTAAAAAAATATAATGAAGGAATGGGAGAGGTAGATTTACACGATATGCCAATGGAATGCTACAGAGTAGATATCAAAGATAGAAGGTTTTATCTTCGAATGATATTTCATTTGATAGATACCTGTTTTGTGAATGCATGGTTATTGTATCGAAGAAATATACTACAAAAGAATGAAAAATCTTTTATAAAACTTATAACATTTAAATCTCAAATAGTTACTGATTTATTAATGGCAGGTAAAATTAGTAAAAGAAAAATAGGGATACTATCAAATGAAACTCCTAAAAAACAAAAAGGATCTGGGTTACCTCGATAATATCAGACGTTAGATACGATGATATAGAGCATTGGCCAGAAGCTTCCAACACTCGAAAAAGGTGTGAACTATGTGTTAGCGCATATTCAAGGACTTGTGAAAAATGTGAAATTTATTTTATGATTTAACCAGGATAAAAATTGTTTTAAAACATTTCATAATAAATAAATATATATTTTTTATATATGCATTGAGCTCAATGTCAAATTGTAGCATTATTTTTTTTACCTGTATATTATAAAATTTTACATCTTTGGTGTATATAAATGAAGATTTTTTTATAAAAAAAATTTTTTAGTTTTATTTTAAAAAGAACCTGTGTCATAATATTACAATCTTTTAACTTATAAGGTGCCATTTCAACGTTTTAAATGTTGCGTGTATATGGTTTAAAATGATATTATATAAATTCACATTTAATAATAATAATTGACACCTTGAAATAATCTGCTTAAAGTTTATAATATTACAATCACAATATTATAGAGGTTTATGTGCTTATAATATTTTTATAATTTAAAACTTATCTAAAATTGTTAAAAATCTAACTTAGATGGATCGTATTGTTGAAAAATGTACAAATACATAATTATGTTTTCATAAAAAAATATTTTGTATCAGTTGTATTTTAAAATATTCTGACTACTCAAAAAATGTTTATTATTTTGCTAAAAAATATTGGTTTGAGAATTTCTAACATGTAATAATAGGGAGATAGACATAAAATATAATATTTAAATATTCATTCGTTTTGATTTTAGAAATTATGATTTCGGATAATAAAAAATAGCAAGGAGTTTCAATTTTAAATCGAAAAATGTAATGTTTTTGTTGATAAAAGAAAATGTGTACAAGAACTTTAAAATGAATATTCGGCGCTAGCTATGGGATTACCTAAAAATGAGATGAGGAACCACTTTAAAACAGGCAGATAAGGTAAGGTATGAAAATCAGGGACCCGGAGTGAACCGTAACGAACCGTTAAACCATTATAAATATCAGAACCGTAACCGTAATCGAACCGATATAATAATTTTTTGAATGAGTAAAATGAACCTTTATAAAAAAGGTCAAACCGGTTTAAACCAATTCAGTTTTATATTTTAGGAATAAAAAATTTGAATATTTATAAACTTGCTCTTATAGTCCCGAAATACAAGTTTCTGTAGAAAGGACCATTTCGGGCTAAAATTTGTGTTATCGTCACAACAAACAAAAAATATGAATCCATTTATATTAGAAAATATTATAATATATTTAAAAATGAGTTATTTTGAATCTTACATATTATTTTATATAATTCATAGATGCTTATAATAAAAATAAATTAGATGATGGTGTTGCTTTAATAAAAAAAATTTTCTAACCGTAATGAACCATTATGAACCTTTATAATTAGCTGAACCGAACCGAACCTTTGTAAATTTTTTCTTAAGAAACGTAACCAAAACGTAACCATTACAATTGTTTACATACTGAACCGTTATAAATAACGGTTCAGGTTCCTGATGAAAATATACTAAGAATAGATAGAAGGAGGAATGAATATTCCCGATGCTTCTGTTGAAGGTAAAACGGCAGAAGAATATCCAATTCAGATGAAAAAATGCAATATTTTATTTTATTAACTTGGGGTAAGGTAATATATTTATATGCGATTCCAAAAGAATATAAAAAAACAAATGAAGATAGGTAAAACAGTAAAATAATATAACTGACCGGTTGATACAATAAAGCATTCAATTTAACGATAATAAATTCTGGCATAATCCAAAATCCGAAAAATTGATTTAACAAAAATTTTTTAATTACAATTTACCTTTTAAAAATTAAGAGGCCAAACTGAGAAATATAAAAAAGGTTTAATGTAAACTCATGTTATTTGTGAATAAAAGCTTATATGTTATATACTTTTAATTAAATTATTTATATTGGTTAAGCTATACTTATTCATCATTTATTATATGAAAATTCATCAATTATATTTCGAAAAAGTTTGTAATAAATTAATTGACATAGATAACAAAATAAAAGTTATCGAAATATCTTAAAAATATATCAATTGATGAATTTCCATATTATATGAAAAAAATAGATGGGAGACACTAAAAAAAAGATGGAAATTGATAAATTTTTTATTAATTCTTATAAATTATATATAATAATATCCATTTAAACAATAGAAATGATCAGTGGTAATTAATAATTCCAAAAAATAAATTAACCGTTAACTAAAGTAATTCGGACGTATAAAAGGTTGGCACACCCAAGGAGGTAGAATTGAACTTGATTGATCCTCATCTAGTACGTATTAATTATGAAAATGGTATGATAAAACACATTCGAGTTCAAACATAAATTTTCACAGAGACAAGGAACGGAATATGAAATTTTAAAACTAGGCCGGGGATAATGTTTCCAGAACAGTTTCGAAAATGAATGCGAAAAAATAAATTTATTACATAATTATAAAAATATAAATAAATATCGCGATTATAACAACATACTCTTTATTGCTGTTTCCTTTTCTGTTTATATGTATCATATATTCACCATATTATTATTCACGTTCAAAATTTTTGGCACAATAATAAAGTCTATACAAGTACAAAAGCCATAAAGGCCAATGTACTTGGCTAAATTTTATAATGTCATAACAAGGGCATATAAAATTTCGTTTTTTCACATTACAATATTTATTATGGGTAATTATTGTATAGAGTCGAACATGATTGATATCCTGTGTTTTATTAAAATATTATATAACGTAGTAAATTATTCATAATTACAGAAAATTGTTGTTTTCGAGTAGCGTCTGTGGCTCAGTCGCTATAGACGTAGATTATGGAAATCACTTTAAACTTCGATCTAAATTCGAATCCAAGAAGGACCGATTTTTCCTGAAGCTAACTAGGTATTTCCATGATAATGGTCATGATGAATAGCAGATCGAAAGCGAGTGCATGATTTAATAAAAGTCGGTCGTTTTTTTAGAAATTAATATATGATGGTCAAAGGTATATATATAATTAGCTTTTATTTAGTATTAAAACAAATTTCAAATTAAATTTAAAATAACTTTTATTGTTTTGTTTTAAAATTAATATATAATTAGCATAATAGATAATTTTGTTTTTTTAACATTGTAATTTATATTTAACACTATTGCATATATTTCAAATGATAATATTTGGAGAATGTCTTTAAATTAATTAATACATCAATTATGCCTAAAATAACTGAAAGGTTTGGCCTCCTATGACCAAATCTCGAGGCTAGATATTGGCTAAAATTTTTATTTAGCCACTTTTTTATAGCGCCTAAATCGAGATTATCGGCAATGCTACTCCTATCAACTACTTATACTTTTATTTCTGCAAAATTTCATGCATTTTATTTGAACATATGTATTGTTTGGAGGAAATAATGGAGAATCTTATATTTTTCATTGATAGGCATTTCGTCTAAATATTCTAAGTATATTCAATATTTCGTCTAAATGCCTTTCTATGGTGGATTTACCTGTATAGCACTTTTTAATGCATTTTAATGAATGTTGTGACATATTTTAAAAAGAATTTTTTATTAAAAATATGAAGGCGATTTAACTTTATTTTAGACAAATATTACAAAAATTCTCATAAATTTTTTATGAAATGTTATTTCTTCAAAATTTATATATATATAACATAACTAAATAAAGGTTAAATATATCAAAGCTTAATATAGAGGTCTGCAATGGCATGGTTTTTAACCCGCCAATTCTAAGGGTTTGGCTGAAGGGCTTTTAAACATCGGGCGGATTAAAAATATTTTTAAAATAGTGGGTGGGTGGAGGGGGTTGGAAGAGTGAATTTATAAAATAAAAAGAACATCTTCTACTTACTAAAAACCATTTTTTCATTTCATAATATTGCATATTTTACAAGTTTAAATAAAAATACATTAAAATAAAAAGCCAAATCAACTAATAAAATAATTTCTAAACATTGAGCGACTGGGTTAAACAAAATTTTTAGATAAATGGGTAGGCGGATGAATTAAAAAAAACATAGGTGGGCGGGCGTTTTGGTTCCCGTCTATCGCAGACCTCTAGCTTAATATAAAAATTCGAGTGATATAACAGTTTTAAAATGAAAGTAAGCTATGCCCACTCACGTTATCTTTTCCACCTTACCACACTCAAGATTTAATTAAAAACTTCAAAGACCAAACATCTAAAATGCAATACCAAACCTTGTTTGAGTAAATTCAGGCCTGTGATAGCGTCAGCATCTAAGGTGTAAGGAGATGTTCCGTTTCCCAATTTGATTTGTTGGAGTAGTACACGCGCCCGCAAGTCATTATCATGTGGGAAAAACAAGGCGGAACGGACAGATTCTATGAAAGAATGTAAGTCTAAGTCAGTTTGAGCAGAGCACAATTTATCACGTAGGCGGGGAAGCAATGGAAGGCTTTATTTAAAAATAATAATTTGGGTGGGTTTGTTTAAATATTATCATCGATGAATTAAATAATCTAAAAATGCGTATATAGGATTATTTTATTTTCGCAGAATATGTAAACGATATAAATAGTATAGTTGCGATAGCTAAATGTCAGCTCAATCAATAGGAGCGTGTCGGAGAAAATACATTAACATTAAGGCGTTTATAATGTTGTTTATTTTGAAACATAATATAAAATGAAATATTAATATTATGGCATTAAATTCGATTACATTTTTTTATAATAGGTCAAATTTTGTTGTTGAAAATTTAAAATAATGAGATTTAGAGCTTTATTTATTTCACTGATATGACCTGATAATGTGGCATCATCCAAATAGCAAAAATTGAGATCGAGATTACAATCGGTTTATATATTTTGGATGATGTTGTTAGATAAGCAAAATAAAGGTGGATCGAGTGGATCCCCTTATCCAGTAGTGGGAAGAAATCTTGTTTGTATCCTTTTATAAAATTTACCATATCACACTGGTATATAATTTTTGACGATTTGCAACTTCTCACCTCCGAAGTTTAGTTTCATTTCAAAATTTCATTATTATTTAATTTTAATATGTTTTTTCTTTTCTTTGGAATTAATTTATTGGAATCAACCTAATAAAATTATAACATTTTATATATATTTTATACACTGCGTTCAGTATTTAATAAGCAACATTGATAAGATAAGAACCAGAAAATAATAAATTTTGATTTAATTAACATTTATGACCAGTTTTCAATTTGTACTAAAATTTGTATAAGCTGTAAATTTATTTTCATAAATATTATATGCCTATGGATTTAGTCAGTAGATTCAATAAAGGAGGAAGCAGGGGCTCGAGCCCCCTGAAAAATTTTGAATTTTTTTTAATACCACTAAAAAAAGTATGAATAAATTTTTAAAAGGACGATTCTAACTAAAAAAAACATGGTATGATCGATTACTTTTTGATATAAGTTTGGCAATGGCTAAATTGACTTAATCTACAGGCGCCTGCCAAGGAAAATCCGCTAGGCATTGTGACACGTGTTTGCTTTCTTCAAATTCGAGTATATTTTCAAAAACAAAACCCCATAAACTGAGGTTATGGTTTTCGGCTAAACGAACTCAACATCTCAATATTCTAAAATAATAGCCATGAATCAATCGTGCAAATTGCATTACACTATTTTTTCGCATATAAGCTCACTATTCATTATTATATGGCTGGCGGACAAATTAATATAATATAACCACAAATGAAAGATCTTGAAAAAATGGGCCCGAATATGGTTGAAATTGATGGGATAGCGTGAACAAAGCTCCAGAAATTCTTGGGCTATGTCCCATACGAAAGGATGCGAGTCTGAAAAAAGAGCGGGGTTATGGAGGATGGTTTCTATGTGAAATGAATATTAATTATTTAAAGGGTATTATTATATGTAATTTTTAATATTATTTTAAATAAATGTGAAATATTTTTATAATATCATGCTCCTAACTAAACACATAATCATCACAAAAAACAGGATAACTGATTAAATTTTTATAAATTATAAAAGTAATTGGGTAAAATAAAGGAACACTGCCTATAATTTATGTGCTTAGCTTATGAGATGCTAAAATTATTAATATACGTGCGGCCATATTACTTGTGAAAAGAATGATATTAGTCACATGGTGCCTTTTTTTTACCCATTTACAAAAATACTAAATTAATTAATATACATTATAATATAATGAATAAATATAATTTAAAATAAGGTGCAAAATTTCAATTAAACCTGCACTCATAACGGCGTCAGCGGAAGTCTTTTTAATGCATTCATCCAAATCAGAGTATTCCAAAATATTTCCGTTTGCTATCACAGGGATGGACAGGTGAGATTTGACGAGCCGAATTTGGGGCCAATCAGCGGGGCCAGTCAAAGACCCCTTTTGATGCAGACTTCGCCCATGAACACCTAAAAGCTTTTAACGTTAGATACAATTTTCGCAATATATTTACATATGCCGACTTTGTCGGAGCTTAATTTTTTATTTGATGATGCATAATCAAATTTAGACAAGAACCTCCAAAATAATCAGTTACTGTGAGTGAGCGAAGAAAATGAGAAGTTAAATAAACGTTAAAAATTAGGCATCAATTTGTGTAATAATTTGACCATCCTTGAGAGAACAGGATTCTATATTGGGTGATAATCCCAAAAAGTTATTTTTTCAATAAAGTCAATCAAGTTAGTTATTACATATTTACCTTGCAGCCAGCTTTTTCTAGCATCTGGGCATAGTGAATAGATTTGCGACAATCGTCTTGATAAATTCGGATTTTACAAGTGACGGGAGTTTCAAGATTTCTGGTGGCTGTTTTGATTATATCGCTAATTAGTTCCCATTCGTCCATGATATAGGCACCATAGTGACCTTAATGAAAAGAAGGTACAGTTTAAAATTATCGCAGTTTAACGCCCATAAAAAAAAAATTGTCATTAATATTTCAATTATTTTAGCTGATACAAACATTATATCGACCAATACCAAAAAATATAATGGTGCAGTATGTTTATTAAAGAGAGTAAAAATTTATTAATATCCAATTTTTCTTAATCATTTATAAATAATTTTGTTCACATGTGGGAAAACCAAACGATTTCATCTGATTAATATTTGAATGAAATCAAAGAGTATAAAATAAATTAAAGTAAAATTATAAAAGGTAATTAAAAATATATTCCAAAACTAAAACAACTTACATATTATTTTACATTCTGATTATTACATTAGTGAAAATATATAGCGTATTTTAAATTAAAAATATAACATAAATATTAATAACTAATAATGGCACTAACAATAAACAAAGTCCTAATTTGGGAAATGAAAAATACAAAATTTTATTATTATTCATTACCCAACAGAACATTATCCAGGCTAACGATATGTCAAACAACAAAATTTTTGAAGAGACTTATGAATGGTTGAAGACAAAATTAAAATTACTTTTTCCAGAGGAAGAGATTTATAACAATATTAAAATATTCTAACATGCCTCTTAATCGAAAGAGAAAACGTTTACACAATTGACTAAACTAGATGTAAATTCAAGGATTGTCAAAGGGTCATATAAAAAGTCATCACTTCCGCCTATTTTATGGAGATAGGGAGAGCCTTGGCAAGAGAAAAGGACCTCACTTTAGAAAAAGTCATGAAAATTGGAAGAAAAGAAGAAACCATACAAGCTAAAACTTCCAATAGACAAAAAAAATAATGCCATTTTTTAAATTCGCGATAATTACAATGACCAATATTTATCACGAGTATAGATATCAATACCGACTAGAATATGATTATCAACAACATCACTAACCAAAATATCGATGACAAAGCTAACAAAAACGTATCATTACATTATACAACAATATCAACAAAATAATAATTATATAAGGGAATTTCGAATTTTCTTATTATAACAACATATATGATAACAACATATATGATAACAACAATCAACATTTTCAATGTACTACAACAGATATCCCCAACAGCCTAATAACATAATAGGCGTTGTGAAAACAATTAGCATGGAATATGATAACTAATAATTATAATAAATCATTACAAAATTATATGATAATAAATATAACAATTATGAATAAATTAGGTAAGTTTATATTGAACAATATAGATGATATATAGGAAGATAATTAAAGAATAGCACAAGATGATATCTCAAATACAACACAAAAAGAATATATATAGACCCAGACAAATTACATAGAAGGTGCTTATAACGATAAACAAAGTTCCTATAGAAGTGCCGATAGACATAAGTAGCAAATACACATTAATTTCGTGATAAATGATCAAATCGCTAGGCATAAAAAAGCTAAATATAAAATTAACTAATTAAGTTGGGATAATAAACACAATAAGACAAGATTAAACGTACTAGAAGCCATGGTAACGGAGAAACACCATTATTAGAAAAATTATATTTAATTAAAGCTTTTCCTGATATATTGAAAGATTTTTTTAAAAATTTTAAGATTTTATAAAAATTACGATGATACAATAAGAGTTATAAAAAATGTCAAATAATACAAAAATATAATATAAAGAAATAATAATTAAGAAACATTGTTCAAGTGTCACAAATTAACTCAAAAGAAAAAAATTAATATTTATAAAGATTAAATAAAATATAATTCACAAGAAAGTGATAATTGCACATTCAAAAAAAGAAGGGAAAGTCTTAAGAGGATAATAACTAGTATAAACGTAACAAAACCCTCTTTAAGGTGAAGTGTTGTTAAACGGTCCGATTTTTAAAAACAGCGTGTTTAAGAAAAAAAAGTTATTTTTTAATCAGCTGTTTCCCTTATCCCATTTGAATTTATTTTGACCCGCCACGATTTTTGTCTTATAGTATAGTTTAAATTTAAATATTATTATTTATATTTTATAGTTTAGCATAAGCATCGATGTTATTATTTCGTCATCATAGGCCCATATATAATAAATACTTCATATTAAAATTCTATATTCAAGGAACCAATTTCTCCTAACCAAATTTAAAATGTGCTAAAAAGTATAATATTAGTTTCAAAATCTTCAAGTTCTAATTTGAAGAGACACTTGATTGTAATATATATTATTTCAAATAATATAACTATAAGTAGCGCGTCAATAATTTATCCTAGATAGGCTTATTAAATTATGATTATTATAATTATACATAAAGTAAAAATCGTTAAATGTTCACATTTACATAGATATAAATAATATCTTTAAAATTTATTTTTAGTGAGATTGAAATTATAATTTAATACTATCATCTTTAAGTTTTTGTCAAGGATTTCATATTTTAACTATTGAACACAAATCAAAATAAAGCTTTAAACATGTGGTACTTCCATATCAAATCAATCAGTTTACAACCCGACCATCTAAGATTTTGCTAAAATTTGGTATATAAGTTAATGAAGTGTTGTAATGGAAATCAAACATATTAGCCCCTTAACTCTACTAGAACCGGAGATATAGGGTCTCAAAGTCGCTCTGCTTGGTCATTTCTCGAAAAAATAGATTTTTTAAAATTGGGATAACTTTAATATTAGATGTACTATAGCTATCTATCATGGCTCATCTTATAACTCTAAGTAAACTCTTCCAAATATTTTAAATAAAATTAATTTTTAAATTTTTTAAAATTGCGGTCAGAAATTTGTAATTAATTTTTTTAAATGTTAGCATTAATTTTTTTTCTCCAAATTTCAGATATTTTGTAAAGGGTACCAAGAACTGTTCATATAAAAATTTGAGTGGTAAAATAAAAATTAAGTAGGAAAATGCTTAAAATAAATAAACCGCTAGATGGCGTTAATAATTTTAAATAGCTTAAAACTTTATTTTTGAAAATATAAGTAAATCTACCTTTTTTTAATATTCCATAATATAATATTTGTTGAATAAAATCGCATCTTGGCACAAAAATAAAATTTCCGCTAGATAACGCAAGTAATTTAAATTAGATAAGAACCTCATTTTTGTAAAATATGTCAATAGATGTTTTTATTTGTTCGATAATATTTATTGAATGAATTCATAGTAAAATTACTTATAGTATAGAAGCTTAGTTATATTGATTTCCTTAAATTTAATATGTATATGGTCATTTCGGATTCTTTACGACTTAAATTATAAGTTCTTCCTGTTAGTGGTCAAAAGGTTGAAGACATTTAGAATATCATTTTTCGTAAGAATAAGAATATCAGGCATTGAAGGATAATAAAAGGAATTAAAAGGTCCATTAGTGTGTAAAAATATTACCTTTACCACATCAGCGCTAATAATTGCTATAATATAGGCCACCCACCATTCATTATCATAAAAACATGTTACATACCCTTTTATATCATTGGTTGATATCTCGCCTATTCTGAATATTTATGGTGTGGTTTGAACAGCACTGAAATATTTTTTCGTAATTATTTGTGATAAGCTAACAGGATAAACTGCATGAATTTTTTGAGTTCCAGAAAAGGAACGAGCTTTTCAAAACCGATCCTTTAAAAATTCTTCTTCTCTAGGTATTCTTCATGGGATGTATAAGCGAATTTAAAGAAATCGCAAGGAGATTTTATTTGATTTTTATAAGGTCGTTATAAACTGGCCCGTACAGCCTAGCGTTTCACAGTTCCCCCTATTCCATCGCAAGCACTTTTCCCATGCGCAGTAGCAAAGAAATGCCATTCTGTTGAGATAGCGAGGCCTAACTGATGATAAAGCAAATTTATGAAATATTTCGCTTTTATATTGAGCCGCGGACCCATCGGAATAATAATAAATGTATTTAGGCTCTGATAAAAAGTAATTTTTTAAAAGTTTATTAATTTTTTTTGAAATAAATAAAATAAGAAGGTATTATGTTCAAGCGACTCGGATATGGCAACATACTTATATGATTATTAATTATTAACCTTATAATATATTACAAAGGGATGTAGGGTGACCTGGTAAGTGGCCCAATTGTACTTCCTCTTAAAGTATGAAAATAATTTTCAGAAAAATCACATATTACCAAACAATGAAATTTAAATCATAATTAGATATTTTTTTAAATTTGAGGCATCTAGCGGTTTTATTTTTGTGCCAAAATGCGATTTACAAACATTATATTATGGAATATTAAAAAGGTAGATTGACTTATATTTTCAGAAATAAAGTTTTAAGTTATTTAAAACTATTAACGCCATCTAGAGGTATTTTCATTTTAAGCATTTTATCTACTTAACTTTTTACTACTCTGAAAATTTTTATATGAACAGTTCTTGGTAGTGTTGTTGAACGCGTTCGTTTTTTTATAAAAAATGATGAACGGCGTTCCTTTTATTTTTGATGAACTTTGAACGTGAACGCGTTCCTTTTTTATGACGAACGCGTTCGAATTTAACGTTCGTTCAATTTTAAAAATACTTTTTATTTTTATTTATTTGAAAAATTTAATATTTCCGATTTTTTTTAAAAAAAATTATTATTTATATTTTTTAATCGGCTATGTATTTCCTTTTCACATTTCAATTTTTTTAACACAGTTTATTAATTTGAATATTATTGTTTATATTTTAATTTAATAAATTAGCATAAGCATGGATATTATTATTTAATCCTCATCATCTGATTCTGAATCCAAAATAAGATGAATTATCATTACCATGACCAAATATGATAAATGTTTTACAGTAACATCCTATATTGAAGGAACTAATTCAATGCTCACTAAGTGTAAAATGTGGCCAAAAAGTATAATATTGTCAAATTCAGGTTCTAATTTAAAACGACATTTGATTGTAATATATTTTATTTATATAATATAACTTAGTAAAATCATTAAATTTGAAGAAATAATGCATTTGGGATATTTGACCCCAACAATAAATAGTTATTTTAAAATATATAAAGATCAATATGTTCTTTCTGCAATTATACATCCAGCATTCAAACTTCAATGGCCATGGATAAAACTTCCACAGAACGGAGCTATTAAAAATAAACTAATAGCGTTATTGAAAAGAATGCTTTGAAAACCCTAGAGAACTGTTAATTTCGTGATATCCTTTTTTTGTCGAGGAAGTAGAGAATGGATTGGAGGAGGATAACTTATCTCAATTTTTTGAAGCAAATAACAAAACAATAAATGTTTTTAATTAATTCTCCGCGTTAAAAGAGCTGTTATTAAGTATAATACCGCAATCCCCTCATCTGCCCCTGTAGAGCGCGTTTTTAGTATAATGCCGTATTAACTGCCAAGTGTTCCTATCTATCAGATAAATATTTTGAAAACAATTCTTATTAAAATTTAATAAGAAAAATTTTTTATAAATAAAAATATCTTTTTATTCGCTATATTATATTATATTTATAATTATATTATCAAAATAAAACTATATTATATTTTAACATGGCTAATATATTGTATTAAAAAATATAGGTTTATTTATATTAAATTAAAAAAATTTATCATAAAATTTTGAACGGTTCATGAATGTGAACGCGTTCCTTTTTTTAAAAAGTGAACTTGAACGTAAACGCGTTCGATTTTTGTCAATAAACGTTGAACGCGTTCGATTTTTTAGAAATGTTTACAGCACTAGTTCTTGATACTCTTTACAAAATCTGAATGGAAAAAAAATTTATACTAACATTTTAAAAATTACAAATTTTTGACTGCAATTTTAAAAAAAATTTATAAATTAATATTAATTTTATTTAAAATATGTGGAAAAGTTTACATAGGGCTATAAAATGAGCCATGATAGATATATATAGTGCATCTAATATTAAAGTCATCCCAATTTTTAAAAATAATTTTTTTCGAAAAATGACCAAGCGGAGCATTGAGAGCCTATATCCCCGGTTCTAGTAAAGTTAAATGGCTAATATTTTGGATTCGTCAATTACAACACTTCATTAATTTATATACCAAATTTTAACAAAATCTGAGATGGTCAAACTGTAAAGTGATTGATTTGATCTGAAGTGACCTCATGCCTAATATATTGTGTTAAAAAATATAAGTGTTTTATTTATATTAAATTAAATATTAAGTGAAATTTTATCTGCCTGATCATTTATATTTTAAATATAGGTTATCGGTTGATCACGTAAAATTGAAATCCTATAAAAATTATTTATGATTAGTGTTGTTAATCGGCTTAGCCGAGTCGGCTCGAATAGAGCTAACCCAAATTTTGAATCGTTTTTTCGACCTCGACCCGAGTTCAAGCCGAAAAAAACGACCTCGACCCAAAATATGGGTCGTTTTTTTCGACCTCGACCCGAGTCCAAGCCGAATAAAACGACCTCGACCCAAAATATGGGTGGTTTTTTTCGACCTCGATCCGAGTCCAAGCTGAAAAAAACGACCTCGACCCAAAATATGGGTCGTTTTTTTCGACCTCGACCCGAGTCCAAGCCGAATAAAACAACCTCGACCCAAAATATGGGTCGTATTTTTCGACTCATACTTAAAGTTTAGGTCGTTTTTTCGACTCAGACTTGAAGCTTGGTTGTTTTTTTCGACTCAGACTTGAAGTTTATTTTTTTAAAGGCAATGTGTAAAAATTTATTTTGCAAACATGTTAAATTAAAATTTCAGTGAAGATGTAACATAGGAAAGTGACAATTGTCTTAATCGTCATTTTTGAACATTTTTCAATTTTTTTTAGACAAATGGGTAAAAATATATTTTATAAACATGTTAAAATAAAATTTCATTGAAGATGTACCATAGGAAAGTGACAATTGTCATAATCGTCATTTTTGAATTTTTTTAAGGCAAATGGGTAAAAATATATTTTGTTGTAAACATGTTAAATTAAAATTTCATTGAAGATGTACCTTAGGAAAGTGACAATTGTCTAATCGTCATTTTTGAACTTTTTCCAATTTTTTTAAGGCAAATGGGTAAAAATATATTTTGTAAACATGTTAAATTTAAATTTCAGTGAAGATGTACCATAGGAAAGTGACAATTGTCATAATCGTCATTTTTGAACTTTTTTCAATTTTTTTAAGGCAAATGGGTAAAAATATATTTTATAAACATGTTAAATTAAAATTTCATTGAAGATGTACCTTAGGAAAGTGACAATTGTCATAATCGCCATTTTTGAACTTTTTTGAATTTTTTTTAGACAAATGGGTAAAAATATATTTTATAAACATGTTAAATTAAAATTTCATTGAAGATGTACCTTAGGAAAGTGACAATTGCCATAATCGTCATTTTTGAATTATTTTTAGACAAATGGGTAAAAATATATTTTGTAAACATGTTAGGTTTAAATTTCAGTGAAGATGTACCATAAGAAAGTGACAATTGTCATAATCGTCATTTTTGAACTTTTTTCAATTTAATTGAAGCAGATAGATAAAAATATATACTGTAAACATCTTAAATATCTGCTTCAATTAAATTGAAAAAAGTTCAAAAATGACGATTATGACAATTGTCACTTTCCTATGGTACATCTTCACTGAAATTTTAATTTAACATGTTTACAAAATATATTTTTACCCATTTGCCTTAAAAAAATTGAAAAAAGTTCAAAAATGACGATTATGACAATTGTCATTTTTCTATGGTACATCTTCACTGAAATTTAAATTTTACATGTTTACAAAATATATTTTTACCCATTTGCCTTAAAAAAATTGAAAAAAAAATTCAAAAATGACGATTATGACAATTGTCATTTTCCTATGGTACATCTTCACTGAAATTTAAATTTAACATGTTAAAAAAATATATTTTTACCCATTTGTCTAAAAAAAATTCAAAAAAGACAATTATGACAATTGTCACTTTCCTAAGGTATATCTTCAATGAAATTTTTATTTAACATGTTTACAAAATATATTTTTACCCATTTGCCTTAAAAAAATTCAAAAAAGACGATTATGACAATTGTCACTTTCCTATGGTACATCTTCAATTAAATTTTAATTTAACATGATTGCAAAATATATTTTAACATATTTGCCTTAAAAAATAAACTTCAAGTCTTAGTCGAAAAAAACGACCAAACTTCAAGTCTCAGTCGTAAAAAACGACCTAAACTTCAAGTCCGAGGTCGAAAAAAACGACCCATATTTTGGGTCGAGGTCGTTTTTTCGGCTTGAACTCGGGTCGAGGTCGAAAAAAACGACCAGAACTTTGGGTCGGGGTCGCGGCGTTTTAACAACACTATTTATGATACAATTAATAATAGAAATTTTTTTAAAACAATATAATTTTTCTTCTATTAAAATATACCATATTTTTTAATTATGTAATACGGTTCATTCTATTCCATATTGATATTCACCATAATAATATTATTAAAAATCGGATAGCTAACATCGGTTTATCAACTGGATATTAGCAAAATAGAACAGTCTCTAAAAAGCCATTATCCATACATTTATTTGTAAGATATCATATCATATATTAGAAGTAACTATTAGGTAGTGAAGGTCAACGGTCCGGTCCTATCGGTCTTAGATTGAGAAGGAATCGATTGTTGGGTTTAATAAATTTTTCTGTAGCTTTTATTTTATATTACTTTTCTTGAGGAGTTACTTTAGTATTTGTGATTCTTTTTAATTTTATGATAAAATAAGATAAATAAAAACGAAAATATTTCTAAAATAACACAAAAAGAACAGGTCTTTTTATTTGGGACTACGGTCTGGACCGGTCTTTTATTCAAAGGCAGTGGTTAAATCCTATCAAATACCGGACCGTGCTCAAACATGATTAAAACATAATTGTTATAAAATGATCTAATAAATAACTATTTTGCCCAGAGACAAATTCATTAAGAACATTTTGGGAATATTTTACCAGAATGTATGTAAAAAATCATTTTTAAAAAACCTCTCTTAGCTATCTTTTGCGGGCAACCCAAGTTTAGATCTACAGCAGTGCATTGATATTGAACCAATAAGCTGGCTGCCAAAAAATCTGCGGCATCATTAGAGCAAAACTTAATAGCAAAATTTGATTTATAAAATGTTACAATTAAGAGGTGATAAGAGGAAAAATAGAAACGAGATGAGTAAATCAATGTAACCTGAACGATTAAAGGGCTATCTTCTACGCAAGTTGAGAACATGTCTTTCCGATACCTAGGTTCTTTGCTAAACTTAGATGAATGAAGCATGGGACTGTAACATAAATCCGAATCGTACTTACGTGTCAAAAGCCTAAAGGTTTTCAAAATATTTTTATCTATCTTAATAGAGGAGAAACTATCTTAAACAATTGTTAAGTAAAAATTATTTATGCACCATTTAATTTGACGAAATTTCATCAAATATGTTTATAAAAGATGTGTTGTGTAATATTAAGAGGAATAAATATTCTATCACCAGGTTAATGTAATTACAAAATTACGTTTATGGGATTCATTCCTTGAGATTTAGGTAAAATTTTATATAAAAATTAAGGTACAAGGGAACTAAAGCATTGATCAAATTTTAGCATCATGGATCTTATATTTTAGGAGACATTAGGGATCAAAATATGCAAAATTATAAATTGGCCCCGTCATTTTAGATTTTTGATGGTTTATCCGTTGGACGGATTTGTACCGTTTCAGTTCGATTTCTACCATCAGTTTTGAGATATTATAGGTGGAGTCAACTTCCACCGCTAAAATAATACCAATCTATATTGGGATCGATAGAGCTTCCACACAGGACTTATTTACAAATATAATCAAGAATTATGACATAGTTTTTATAGAAATTATCGAAATCGAAGTTTTTAATAATTTAAAAGTTAAAAAAAATTATAATATACAAAAGAAAATTCGATCACTTATATATATATATATCTATTTGTTATCCATTCATTTTTATTTTTATTATTTATTTTCAATTTATTTTATTGTTGAATTTGACATACATAATATATATCAGAGACCTCCAGACCGGGTCCTAAGGCTGGCCCGTATTATAATGTTTTTAAATATACCCGCCGGACCAGGCCTAAAATGATCTTTTTTAAAAATACCCGGGCCGAGCATAAATCTTTTTTTAAAAAATACCCGAGCCGGGCCATATATTTTGAAACCAAATGTTTTAATTCTCATTATTAGCTATAAAGCTGAAAAAAAATCTAAAAAAAAATCCGGGCTAGACCGTGCAAATGGTACCTCTGCAAGTCTCTGATATATATACTCAATTTTTTACTTATTATCTATTATAATATTCATACGCGGATTATATATTCTATTAATTTGAGATTAAAATTGTAATAGTAATATAGTTCATATAATATGAGTGTAATAATTTTTTCGTGAAAATGTTTTATATCGATTTCTTTACCTTACAATTTTCCTTTTATTAGTATATAATATTAATTAAATTAGTTTTTGATGTGATAAAAAGGTATTAACTAGTCTCCTTTCCGTGCTATTTTCTCAACATTGATGACAAATCAAGACTGATAAAAATCAGTTAAATTCAGTGTAAAATTCTTAAAAATTATTTTTAAAATTGAGTAGGATATTATTTATATTTTTTTTAGGCTAGTAAAGATGTTAATTAGGAACATAAAGGTAATTAATAAAATGTAGTAATATTTTTTTAAAAAAAGAAGGTCGATTAAATTTGATTGGGAATATTTATGAAAATAATTTTTAAAGACCTGTTTTTATTTAAAAATAGATTAATGAAAAAGAAGTAGATATCGCTTTTAGACAAATAGTCAGTTTACTAAATAGTGGAACTTAGAATACTTTATAAATTTAAGAAACAAAATAAAATTAAGGCTAACACATAAATGTTTATATAAAATAAACAAAGATTATCAAGGGTAGAATGATGTTGCTGAAGTATGGGTGATTCCACGTCAAATCGACCAAAAAAACGAGATTTTCGGCCGACCATCAAAAATGAATGAAACTTGGCATGTTAGTTATTTATGTTGTAAATATTAATAAAATCAAAATTTTAGAGTGCTAGCTCAACCAGATCCAAAGATATACGCTTTCAAAGTCGAAAATCGCGAAGTGCGTGATTTCATTAAATATTGTTATTTTAAAAAATATTTAAGATAGAGTTACAAATTATATATCATTTTATAGCCCTTAAAATTTTACGTTGGAAAATATTAAAAAATTTCAAGTGTTTTCTTATTTCCGGTAAAATAAAAATAAAGAATTAACATTGTTAGGAAGGGATTTTTTTGGGGTGTTAATATTCACTAAAAATGTTTATTACCTTTATATTAAACGATTTAATAAAAAATCTCGATAGCCATTTTTGTTTTTTTAATTTTATTTGAATTTTTATTATTTTTATAAATAAACAAATGTAATATAGATGGCGTTATAATAATTATTTTATAATATATAATTTTTAATAAAAATATCAATAGTATTGTGATTAAAATTAAAAACTCAATTGAGTATAACCAAGAATGATGTCCTGGGGCGATATTTAAGCAGGCAGCCCATACAGATATTATTTTATTGTCGCTATATTGTAAAATAAACATATTTTAAAATTTTATATTCAAACTATTATAATTTTGTGCTTATTAATAGAAATTCCTAAGGCCATAATTTGTAGATATATCCTTTCATTGTATGGATCTACTATCGTTATTATTTGAAAATAGCGATTTTATCAGCTTATTTTATTTTTTTATTCCTATCATCGCTACCAATCAATCATCATATTTCAAAACTTAAACATTTTTTACAACCAAATGAATTTATGATAATTTGTGATTTCTCTGAAAATTATGCATTTATAATCCAAGATAGGTTAAAGGATTCCTACTAAATAATAATCAAGCCACTATCCATCCTATGATAGCATATTATAATAATAAGGGCAATATAGAAAACCTTAATTATATGGTAATATCAGAGTCACTTCAACATAATGTTATTGCAGTACATTTATACCAGACTAAAATGATAAAATTTTTGACCAACAATTCAGCAAAAAGCCAAACAAAATATATTACTGCTCTGACAGATCAGCTGCGCAATATAAAAACAGAATTTTTTTTATAAATCTGTGTTATCATGAATCAGATTTTGGTGTAGCAGCTGAATGACATTTTTCAGCTACATCCCATGGAAAAGGTCCATGTGACGGCCTTGACGGAACATGAAAAGATTAGCAGCGTGTTCAAGCCTTCAGCACATCAGTTCTGGACACATTTTAACGCCAGTTGATTTATATCAATTTGCAAAACAAAACATGCCATCAGTAAATATTACATATATAACCAACGAACAATACAATTTACAAGAGATTAAACTATGAGAAAGATTCAATTTATCTCGTCCCATTCCAGGAACTCGGGAAATACATGCTGTATTTCCTTTGAGTTTATGTAAACTTAAATCAAAAATATATTCATATGCAGAGAACTTTCAAATTAACAATATCTCAAATGCCGATAATTTGTCTTTTGCCGATATTAAAGGATTCGTAACATGTGTTTATGACGATTTTTGGTGGTTAGCCACAATACTAAAAAAGAGAGGATATATATATTTCCTTTTTACATCCCCATGGAACATCACCATCCTTCTTTTACTCCACAATTGCGGAAAATATATGGTTACCCATTAATCAAATAATAACAGTAGTAGATTCTATTACAGTGATAGGACGAACCTACAAATTATCGTCTCAAGAAATTCTATTAATAAGCACAAAATGGGATTAGATTAAAACAAGAGGTATTTATTTTTATATTGTTTGTGTATAAAATTTTAAAATATGTTTATTTTACAATATAGCGTCCTAATAAAATCATATCTATATCGGCTGACTGCTTACATATCGCCCCAGGACATCATTATTGGTTATACTGAATTGATTTTTTAATTTTAATCACAACACTATTAATATTTTTATTAAAAATTACATATTATAAAAAAAAATTAATATAACGCCATCTATATTGCCTTTTTTTATTTATAAAAATCAAATAAAATTAAAAAAACAAAAATGGCTATCGAGATTTTTTTATAAACCGTTTAATATAAAGGTAATAAACATTTTTAGTGAATTAACACCCAAAAAAATCCCTTCCTAATGTTAATTTTTTTATTTTTACCGAATATAAGAAAACACTTTAAATTTTTTAATTTTTTCTTTATATTTTCCAACGTAAAATTTTAAGGGCTATAAAATGATATATAATTTGTAACTCTATCTTAAATATTATTTAAAATAACAAGATTTAATGAAATCACGCACTTCGCGATTTTCGACTTTGAAGGCGTATATCTTTGGACTTGGTTGAGCTAGCACTCTAAAATTTGGGTTTTATTAACATTTACAACATAAATAACTAACATACCAAGTTTCATTCATTTTTGAGATGGTCGGCCGAATCGTTGGTCGATTTGTCATGGAATTACCAGTATATGATCGCGAAGAGGATGAGGAATAAATGATTAAATATCGAATATGGGAAAAAAATATTCAATATCTTGAGAATCTAGCAAGAAGGTATATTTAATGTGATTGGAAACGAAAAATATTAATAAATGTTTATAAAAAATTATTGAGAAATTATAGCAATAAAAGTTTGCTGAAATGATCTTTATAATAATAAATATAATGTGAGTGGAGATAAATATTTTAAATATTATTTGGTTGTTTTTTATAAAGTCTGAAGAGTTCTGTTAAAAGGATTGGTTGGAAAAAATCAATATATAAAGTAGTGATCTGCATCGGGCCTAATTTTTCAAGCCTGGCCCAAAAAATTTTTAAAAAAATTTACCGGCCCAGCTCGAATTTATTTAAATATAGAAATTAATTTTTATAATTACTCAAAATAAATTATTGTCATCTAGTTTCTATAAATAAAATCTAATATTTTTATTTTACATTAAAAATTCAACATAAAATTGATAAATTTAAATACATTAAAAAACATTTCCAAAGCCTGACCCGACCCACATTTTTTAAAAAAATATTAAGCCCAGCCCAGCCCGATTTCTTTTTAAAAAAATAGGCCCAAACCTGGCTTGGTCCTACTTTTGCATATCTCTAATTTAAAGTATTACTTGGTTTAAAAAAGTCTTAAAGGTATGTGATGTTTAAAAAAATTTAGAATATGAATATTTTAGGACGTGCAAGTATATTTGATAAAAAAGAAATATGAGAAAAATAATTGTCAAAAAATTACAAAGATTTATTTTTATGGTTAAATTGGCAAGAAAACA